ATGGCAATATCCTATATTCAGGAACTATTCAACCAATTTTTGCTACATATCATCATAAAATTACTACCTTATTTTTTTCTTAAATTATATTCCTATGATCAACTACATTCCTTTAAGGACTTACCTTAGCTGCATGATATGTACTAGCTTCAAGTACATCTTCTTTCTTAGCTTCACCAGCAAGCAGGTTAAATCGACTTAGCATTGCAGCCTTACACAGCCGACTTGCCATCGACACACCACTTTTAAATGGAGAACTGTGAAAGAAATAACGCAGTCATTAATTATTATTCAACAATTTATGCTGGTAACTGTAGGGATTAAAATCAACATGGAATAGACAAGTATATACCTCAATTTATGTGCAATACATATAGTGAAATTTTAACATAAAATATTTCTTAATATAATTACTTTCTGAAGTTAATTTCTTTAATAAAATTACATTTTAAGTTATTATAGTATCAAATTAAAATTAAAGTAGAAGATGGATACTTGATAAATTTCTATTGCTTAAAGTAAAATTAACCTATGGTGATCCAAATTAAAATAGTGGTTCTAAGAAATGTCCAGAAGGGGAACAGAAATATTTTCTGAGATAAAAATGTTCTACATTTTGACTAGGGTGATGGTTACACAAGTATGTCAAGATTCATGAAACTGTCAGTGCATTTCACTGTATGTCAACTTTGACTCGCTAAAAAAGTAAAATATACACAACAATCTCCTGACCCTCCATGTATATGGGCATGTATATGTAGATATATTTTTCTATGTTTTTAATAAAAACACATCATGAATGTTTTTGCGATTGAAACTCCTTCCCTTCGTTTTATCTTCTCATTACTTGGCTCTTGTGACAGATTATAAAAATTGCCCAACTCCTTCATTTCTCAGTCTCCATGCTTTTAACAGTACCATTTTTCAGACTGACCCTTCAAAAAGTGTTGATTTCTCCTATCATTGAATAGGGGCTAGCTTTGTGACTTGTTTTGGCAAACAGAATAGATGATGTGTCAATTCTGAGCGGATGCTTCAGGAGACTTTGAGTTCTCATTCTCTTGGGACTCTTTCCTCTGCCATGTGAGCCAGCTGGGACTAGTCTACTAGAGGTTGAAAGAACACAAGGACCAAGTGGACCTTCAGTTAACCTATAGCTGACCCTACATGCTTAGAGAAGCCCAACCAAATCATCTCAGTTGACCTAGGTCTTGTGAACAGTAATAAGTAATTAAGCCAATAAGGGTTGAGGTAGTTTAAATGCAACAACAGTTAACATACACTCATGTATTTGAAAACTACAGACCTCTTTATATAAATTTTCCACCATGAATTTCGTTCTGGTAGTTTTCAGGTGATTCACTTGGGCTTTTCAGGTATAAAATGATACCAGATATAAAGATAGTAATTTTACCTCCTCCTTTCAATATCTCATTTCTTTCTCTTATCCAAATGCATTAAGCTTACTGTTAAGTAACAGTAAACAATCATATTTGTCTAGATGTTAGTGAAAATGCCTCTGAAATTTCAATTATAATGATACTTTTGGATTAATAAAGATACATTTGATCATTAATAAAAATATCTATTCCTGCTTTATCGAGTATTATTATCTAGAATAGTTGTAGAACTGTATTATATGCCTCCTTAGAATTTATAGAGATGTGATGTTTTTCCCTAGGTCAATTAACCTGACAAAATACATTAATAAGAGTTTCTAACCTGGTGTTATTTTTAAAATTACTAGCCACACATTCCTAGAAAAAAATGCCATTTAATATACATTATTATTTTAATGTATGGCTTGATTCTGCTTACTAATATTTTATTTAAGCAATTTTGCTTGGATATAAAAGTGAACTTGGTCTGTAACTTTTGGAATAAGGAGCAGAAATCTTCTATCATATTTAAGTATCAAGGATACATTTGACTAATAAAAGCATTTGGATGTTTTCCATATTTTTAGATAATATTGGAAATCTATGATTTTTAAAGGTTTATAAAATTACTCTGAACCACCTCAGAATGGTGCTTTCTTTGAGGAAGAGTTAGGGCACCTTCTTGATAACTTTCTCATCAAAATAATCAATTTAGGTTTTTCCCTTTTTTGTACCAGTTTTAGAAATATTTTTTCTAGAAATGTATGCATTTCAAACTTGTATTAAAATGTCTTTTTTTGCAAAAGTAATGTGGTTTTTGAAGAAATTATGCTAACCTTTCAGTGATCTTCCCACTTTGGCCATCCACAATCTCCAGTGAAATGTCCCCTTGTGCCCAATTCAGACTCAAAGACCTATAGTCCACATCCGTTTGAAGCAGAAATGCAGAGGGCACTAAGCTAATGTGAGGTCGGTTAACCAAGTAAAACATGGGAAGTTTTGAAGTGAGTGCATCATCAACACGTTGTTTGATAGCAATTTCTAAGCCTCTAGTATCACTGCAATTCCCATCACCTAGAAGGCAAAAATAGAGCAAACACTATCAACATCATAGATTACACACACCAAAGAAACACTCAGAAAAATGATTGGAAAGAGTCTAATGTCCATTTCTTTATCCTTCATCCTGCAATCTTTCTTCTCTCACTTCTACTCTTTGGCTTCTACTTCTGTAGTCAGAATCTCCATTCAAAAAAGAACTTTCTATGGAAAGTAATAATTTCAAATTCCAGTGAATGAGAGCAGAGTTAGAGCTGACCCAGAAGGAAACTGGTACTTTTTACAAGTTTTTCCAGACAGAATTAGCTCCTTCAGTCTGTCTTTCTCAGACTCCAGCATGAAATCAGTACTTACTGCAGCAGGTAAACATAGCTGAGAAAAAGCTGGTGAAAGGGCAGTACTTTTCCACATCTAAAGGCCACAAATTACAAGTGCTCCAGTACCACAATGTTCTGGTTTCACAACACATTTTTTAAAGACTGACTGTTTCTGGTTAAAATTGTGGGCAATACCAAAAACTTAAGAGTTCTCAGTTAAAATTACTGAAGAGAACTCAAAAAGATACAATGTTATTAGTATAATATAAGGGCTGCATCAAACTTAATATAGAAGTTAGAGAACAGTCATTCCTATTTAAAAATTAGTAATTCTACCAGATCTCTTTTCTCTTAGAGCATTAGAGATTGTTACAAAGATAATCTTTATATAATACCATTAGATATATTTAACAAAAAAAGTTTTGTGTCCACATCATTTGAGATGTTGAGTTAGCCCCTGTACTCACACTCATTATGACTATTTGAGAAATATAATAAATGTAAAAGAACACAAGTTGTTTCTGACACCTTTTTTCTAAACACTCCTTTGAATGTTCCAAATTAAGAGATACTGATACCCTGGTTGGTTTGGCTCAGTGGATAGAGTATCAGCCTGTGGACTGAAGGGTCCTGGGTTTGCTTCTGGTCAGGAATACACCTAGGTTGCAGGCTTGATCCCCAATATGGGGCATGCAGGAGGTAGCTGGTCAATGATTCTCTTTCATCACTGATGTTTCTATCTCTCTCTCCCTCTCCTTTTCTCTCTGAAATCAATAAAAATATTTTTTAAAAATAAATTTAAAAATTAAAATAAGAGATACTGACAAATGAAGACTACTTAAAAATATACTTGGGCTCAGAAAAAATCTGTGAGGGCAGGTACTCCTGTGTGTCTCTGCTCCGGCCACCCCCAGCCCCAGCTTTCCCGAGGCCACTGGGGCTGGGGGCTGCACACAGTCCCCTCCTGCCCATCTGCATGTGCGACTCCTCCTGAGCTGTTATGATGCAGCCTCCTCCTGAGCGGTTGTGCTGCCAGGTTAATTAGCATATTCCCTGTGGACAGATAGATAGATGGCCTCTGATAAGGTAACAAAAGTCACTTAAGTGTGATTCCAAGTTACCATGAAATGCAAAGCTCAACAAAACAGTGGATCTGTGTGTTTTTGCCCCTTAAATAAAATATCACATATGGATAACCTGATTTTATACTGATAAATATAGTGTATTTCCTTTTAAAAGCAACAGGAGGTACTGAGTCCACTCACCGACAACTATGCCACTGATATAAACTGGCTGTATGAAGTGACTCAGCAGTGCCCCCTGTACACCAAGCACTTCCCATTTCATCAGTTTGTCACTTGAGGACATACTGCTTACTCTATTGGCAACATCTGCGGGACAGTAGACAGTCAGATAAATTTTGCCTTCAACAGCAACATGGAGACTCAGTTCTTCATTGGCTTCAAATGCAGATATAGAATGTGGATTAAGACGCCTGAAGAAAGAAAATTTCTTCCTTTAAAAAACAAAGCTAACAAAATAAAAGTTATATGTACCTAAGAATTGTTCTTGAACATGTTTAACTGGCCAGTGTACATTTAATTCCAATAACAGATGCAAACCCAAAGCAAGGTTGGAATGGAGTGACCTGGTTCCAAACAGAAATAGCCACATTTAGATATTCTGATAAAGATAAATTTCATATTATTGCCATTCTTTATGTGTCTTAAAATCAAAGAAAAACCTAATATTTTTGTCCTTACCATAGTTTGAGTTATTTTTTTATGTATGAAATTTTTCTAAAACTACAAAATAAAGGAATTTAAAAAAAAAGAAAACTGATTATTTTTATTCAATCTCCAATCCAATGTTGAAAGTTTCTCTCCAGGAACACTCATTGTTCTTCTTTTCAAATGTGTTAGTAAAAGTATTTTTAAGATGGTCGACTTCAAGAGAATTTTACTTTCTTTGTGCTTCTCTTTATTGTTTAATTTTCATGCTAAGGCTACCCACTCATCAAGATAATGAAGTTTTGGCCATACACTCACCAGAAAAACAAAATGCATTCCTTAACTTCTGTTAGTATGTGAAGAGTGCTTAAATCCATACTTTTAGTATGTCAAGAGTGCTTAACTCCATGCTTAAATGCATTCCTTAACTTCCTTAGTATGTGAAGAGTGCTTAAATCCATACTTTTTAAACATTTATGAATCCTTCCAACTAGAAAGGAGATTATTTCAATAGCACAGAAAAGCAGGTGCTGAAGTACGTCTGTATTTAATTAGTAGTAATAGATGAGATTGAGTGGAAGGGAGAGAGACAGAATTTGTACCCTCTTTTAGTCTACAAATAAAACACAACAAGGCTGGAGAAAAATATGTAAGATATGAATTTACTTGTGCTACTGCTGAAGGGATTCACAATACCTGATGTGGCCATCCCAATTGCTTTAAAAAAAAAACAACTGTAATACTTACAACTGTGACTTAATCTGGGCTGACCCTTTAGGCAATTGGTTCATATAGAGGTAAACATTGATATTCTGTTTGACAGTGAGTAAATTCGAAGCTGGTTCTGTACAAAAAATTGATTTTTCCATCATAGCAGGATTTTTGCTGTAGAAGAGTAAAAGTTGTCTATAAAAGTACCTAAAAAAACGAGTAATAACTTTACCAAGTTATACAATTTAAAAGTAATTATCTTAATGAGCATCATATTCCTATGTTTCATGAGCACTGTACATGTAAATTGATAAGAACTCCTAAAATAATCTTAGCCTTATTTAATGAAGAATCAGTCCCTTGAGAACTGGAGCCAAGTCTGCCCCATGACCTGCCTTAAAGTACAATTCTTCCTGACTACCACTCTACTCTCACATTTGAGTCCTCAGCTATCATATCTTGCAAAAGACTCATTTTCCTATCAATTCCTCCTTTCTTTCTCAGATTTTGAAGATAAAAACACAAAAGCATAGTGGTGTTTTTACAGCTAATTAATAAAATGAAGACCAGGGTTTTATTAAGAAGTGAAGCAGATCTTGTAAAAGATACTACTAATCAAATCAGGAGCAAACACTATTCTGATTATTAAAATGTTTTAATCCTATTATCAAGAATATGTAAATAATAGAAAAACTAAGCATCAATATATAACAATGACAACCATGTAAAGAAATGAATCCAGAAGAGGCATCTTTATTTATTTAAAAAAAAATTTTTTTTTTTACCATTTTTTAAATTAAATTATTATCTGTGTACATATCTTACCATTGCCCCCTCCCATACATGCCCTCCCTCCCCAAAGTTTTGTGTCCATTGGTTGTACTTATATGCATGCATACAAGTCCAGAAGACCTCATCTTTAAAGAGGTCAAATAACACAAATAGCACTAAGGGGATGGGAGGACAATGAGTTGCATTGCTTTAATGGATTCCCCCCAAACTTTCTTTTTTTAAGATTACTAGAAGCCCGATACACAAAGTTCGTGCATGGGTAGGGTCCCTAGGCCTGTCCAGCGATCAGGGCCAATATGTGGGGCAACTGGTGGGGCTACCTGGGGGCCCCTGCTGGCACTGCCTTGGTTGGCCTGGGGCCTGTGGGCTGGGGACAGCTCTTGCATTGAGCATTTGCCCCCTGGTGTTCAGTGCGCATCATAGTGTCATTCCACCAGTCGTTCTGCCATTTGGTTAATTTGCATATTAGGCTTTTATTATATACGATAGGATTCCTTCCTTATAATTATAGATACATACATGTTTCATATAGTCATATAGTTAAATTTATTTTTAAAGAAAGAAAGAAAACCCTCCACTCCTAGCTGGTCTGGCTAAGTGGATAGAATGTTAGCCCTACGACTGAAGGGTCCTGGGTTCAATTCTGATCAAGGGCAGGTATCTCAATTGTAGGCTCAATTCCCATCCCTGGTTGGGTTCTTTTAGGAGGCAACCAATCCATGTGACTCTCACATTGATGTTTCTTTCTCTCTCTGTATCCCACCCCACCTCCCTACCATTCTCTCTAAAAATCAATGGAAAAATATTCTCTGGTGAGGATTAACAACAAAAAACACTCTAGCAATTCACTATCCTATTCTCACTTATAAGTATGTGAAAATTTCCATTAAAATGTTTTATGTATAATAAGTTTAATGGGATAAGACAATGGTCAGCAAACTCATTAGTCAACAGAGCCAAATATCAACAGTACAACGATTGAAATTTCTTTTGAGAGCCAAATTTTTTAAACTTAAAACTTTTTCTAATGCCACTTCTTCAAAACAGACTAGCCCAGGCCATGGTATTTTGTGGAAGAGCAACACTCAAGGGGCCAAAGAGCCTCATGTGGCTTGTGAGCCACAGTTTGCCAATCACAGGGATAAGAGAACCAAAAGATGGTGAATACTGCAGGAGTAACACTTACTTTCCATTTCTTCTGTTTCATAAGAGATTTCTAATCAGTAACATACCTGGCTTCTCCCTCCTGCCTCTCTTGTAAGGAATGGAGTGACTGATGAGTTTGGAGAAAGAAAGTAGGCATTCTCCTCTCATCCCCTTTCTCTCTTTCTCTTTGAGATATGCCCTTATGTACACTCTGTTACATGCCAAATAGAATGGAAACCCATCTATTTCTGGTGCTACTTTGGATAAGTATGGCTAATTCAGGGGTGAAATACTGCCAACCCTACTTGGTCTAGATCTAAAGCTATACTCTCCAATTACTTTCATTGGTAATAAAGATAATATTTTTATCCTTAAAAAGGTTGTAGGACTCTTAGTATTGGAATCATAAGGTCTTAATAATAAAGCTACATCACAGTTTCTATGACAAGGTTTCCAAAAGTGACATGGAAATAATCAGATCATTGGATAAATAAGAGACTGTCACATCCTTGGCTCAAATCAGTCAAATTCTACTTGTAAATAAAGACATATTTATTGTACATGGATTGAAAGCATTAATATTTGGCGGCATTTACAGTGTCTCTTACTTACCTAAGGAGAGACCTTCTTGCCGTAACAACAGCATGCGTGTCATGCAACACTCTTCCATCCGGCTTAATGCACTGACTGTAGTTATACTCGCCTGTGCCGAAAGCCACAACTTCGTACCGTCCAGCTAGAGGGGAGCAGGTACAGCAGCAGGTTATTCTGACCTTCCTCTTCCTAGGTTCAAAATCTAGCTTACCATTTTAAAGTCAGTAAAAATATACTGACTGAAAAAAATGGAAAAATAATTCTACAATTTCAAATACAAGTTTGAGAGTCTTCTAATAAGCAAAAATTTAACAATACTTCAATAGCTTAATTAAAACAGCATATTTTATATTATGATTTTTCATCTCAATTTTTACGAGTACCATAATCACCAGATATCCTTGGTTTTCCAATATGCACCTATTCTTTTTTATCTAGATTTATTGGGCTTGCTAAGAGACTTCATATGCCCTTCTATAACTGTATTAAGCAAATTATAAATAGTGCCTTAAACATTTTTTAATCGACTCAAAATCTTTACAAACCAATTTCTAGTTTATTTCTTTGTGCTACTGAAATGTTGTTTTTTTTGTGTGTGTGTTTTTTTATTTTAGGAAACAAGCACCTATGCTCTTTCCAGTAGTTTTGTTCCATTTACTTTTGCTGCATCAAGATTCTCTTAAGAATATGCTCAGAAAAGACACTTATTTTTTTCTTTCACACCTAACTATGGGATCTTTCTATATAGCCTGGTTACTAGTTCATTGCTCTTTTTCTCTAAATAGTCTCTGAATATCCTGTTCATTCTGTCTTTCACTTCAGCGTTGATACTTTCAGAAAATCTCTCCTCTTAGTCTTTCAAAGTTCAGTTTCCCATTTGCAATTACCTAAATAACTTCCATTAAATTAAAAAATTTGTTGAGGTCCTAACCAGTACTAACTAGTACTGAAGTAGGTGCTGGGAATAAAAAGCTCAGCCAGACACCCTCAAGAAACTTCTAATAGGAGATAGAAAAAAGACTAAACAAACCACAAATTGTAACAATGGCCTTGGAGGAAACAAGCATGTGACTGAGAAATAGCATCTCTTGCAGATCAGCTGAAGAATCCCTCTGAAAAGGAAATGTAAGCTTCAGGATGAGGAATAAGCAGCATGGGGTGAGATAAAGAGTTATTTAGGCAAAAAGGAGCTCATGTAGACCCTGGGCTAAGAGAGACAGTATGGCTGCTTTGGTGGAGGGCAGTGAAAGGCATGGCATATGATAATGTTAGAGAAAAAGGCATCAAAAACCATGTTAAGGAGTTTGTGGGTTTCACCAAAAAACTATGGCAAAGGTACTTAAGGCAACAAACACCACAGTGGGTCACATCCTCTGTGTGGGGATGCCACAAGTAGGGACCAAGAAACTTAATTAGGGAGGCCTGTTATAGTAATCCAGGTAAGATATAACAACTTGAGTCTCAAATGATGGGGGTTAAATAGGAAAGAATTATCAGATCTGAGGTATAATTTGGGAATATAATGAAAAGGAATTAGAGATCAATTCTAGAGTGTTAGGGATGAGATAAAGAATGGATGACTTCAATTTTTAGTCTGGCTCAACAACTGGGTGAATGCCATTTACTGAGATGGAGAATGATAGAGGAGGGGTAGGAGTGGATAGTGCAGCTGCTCCATCCAGTAAGGTGTGGGAGGTGGTAAAAAGGGAAGTTCTGGAATGGTTATGTAACTTCTGACTTAATAAAGGGCAATAGTATGGCCAAGAATTCAGCTTTTTTTTTTTTTTTTCTCAGCTCTGTAATTTGACCTGAAATGTTTCATACAGATAATAAAGCTTGAGGATGCATGAAAAAGAGGGGATACCTTAAAATGGCATTCTTCAAGATGGGAGAATGGAAACAGAATTTAAGGGGAGGAATTAGTCTTTAGGAGAAAAGATCCCTCCTCCACTCCAACAGTAGAGAAAAGGTGGATACAAGAACAGGGAAGTACACAGATATAGTGGTAGAGGATAGAACAAAGTCTGGATTTGATAGCTCCTTATAGACCCAATTAAAAACCATGAGGCAAGGCCATTAGGTGACAGCAAGAATGTAAGAGAGGTTGTGGGATATTTGAGAACACAGGAAAAATATGAGATTGCCATCACAGGGAATGTGTATCCAAGTCCGCTGCAGATGGGCTGGCTGGGAAGTGAGGAACACCCATTTGAAGTTTCTAAGAATATATTCAAGTATGGATTGACTGTGTGTTATTCTAAAACCAGATTACTCTTTTCTCTCACTCTCTTCTCCCCACAACTTCACATCAGCTTCCCTGTGTATATGAAAATACCATTCAAATAATGTTTTTTAAAAGTATCTTTTCTCTTCATATTCATGCCTATCTCAACTCTAATGTAGGTATACCATCACAACCATCTTAGCTGTGATTCTCTAATTCAGATTTGATCCTTGTAATGTTTTTTAAGAACTGTGTTTACTATTATTGATTAAATATCAATTATCTTAATCATCACAAATGTAACTTATTGAACTTTTACTAAACACTAAGTACTGGGCTAAATAATTTATTTACATTATCATATTTAACCCTAACAACTCAGTGAAGTAAAAGTTATCATTTCTATTTTTAAGAAGTGAGAAGAAATTGAAACAGAGAGATGTTAAGTATGTAATGAAGTAGCAGAACTGAGTTTGACACTAATGTTCTCAACAACTGGGATACATTTTCAATCCCTGTTAAAATATCTCCCAGTTTACATTCAACCCCATTAAATCCAACTTTTAAGCCACTCCATAATCTGGTAACATCTTATCAATTTAACTATTTTGTACTATGCCTCATACATATTCTTCTGCACTTGAAACAAAGTTCTCCATCCCTGTGTTATGCACAGTGTTTCACTGCTGCCCTCTTCCCTCCTGTCTTTGTGTGTGTGTGACTCTAATTTCTCTAAAAAAATCTTCCTTTCTTCTATTTATCCAAACCCTTAAAGATACAGCTTAAGTCTCCCCTGTTCCCCCCAAAATTTAACCCAATCAGGTCTTTCCTATCCATGAATTCTCATGCATTTTTGGATTATAGAAAACAGTTTTTAATTTTTATTATCTTGGACTTAATAGAAACTAAATCTCAAATTGTTTTATATCATCTTAAATATCTTATTCAGAGATGAATATAGAATCCAAACAGTTTTAATGATCAATTTATAGCATTAGAGTAAATGAAATATAAAATGTAGTTGGAATCACACATAATATCCACAAGAAAAACCAAAGGGTTCATAGTTTTTTATATTTTAACTAGAGGCCGAGTGCACCAAATTTGTGCACAGGGGTGGGGGGAGGGATTGTCCCTCAGCCCAGCCTGCATCCTCTCCAATCTGGGACCCCTCGAGGGATGTCCGACTACCCGTTTAGGCCCGATCCCATCGGCATCAGGCCTAAACAGACTGAGGGACATCTCTCTCACAATCCAGGACTGCTGGCTCCCAACTGCTGGCCTGCCTGCCTTCCTGACTGCCCCTAACCACTTCTGCCAGCCTGATCATTCCCTAACCACTCCCATGCCAGCCTGATTGATGTCTAACTGCTCCCCTGCCAGCCCGTTTGCCCCCAACTGCTCTCCTCTACTGGCCTGGTCTCCCCTAACTGCCCTCCCCTACAGGGTTGATCGCCTTCAACTGCCCTCCCCTGCTGGCCTGGTGCCTCCCAACTACCCTCCCTTATTTGCTTGGTCACCCACAACTGCCCTCCCTTGCAGGCCTGGTCCCTCCCAACTGCCCTCCCCTGCTGGCCATCTTGGGGTAACCATCTTGTGTCTACATGGAGGCAGGATCTTTGACCACATGGGGCAGCCATCTTGTTTGTTGGAGTGATGGTCAATCTGCATATTACTCTTTTATTAGATAGGATAGAGGCCTGGTGCATGGGTGGGGGCCAGCTGGTTTGCCCTGAAGGGTGTCCCAGATCAGGGTGGGGGTTCCCTTGGGGCATGGGCAGCCTGGGTGAGGAGCCTGTGGTGGTTTGCAAGCTGGCCATGCCCCCCAAGTGGAGGCCCTGGTATCTGGGATATATTTACCTTCTACAATTGAAACTGTAGCTTTGAGTGGGGGCTTAAGCCCGCTAGGGCAGATGGAAAGCATGGCTTCTTCCATTGCCCAAGAAACCAAAGCCTCCTTCCTGTTCTCTGTGGCCACAGCCATCTTGGTTGGGGTTAATTTGCAATACTCACTCTGATTGGCTGGTGGGTGTGGCTTGCAGAGCAGAGTGATGGTTGATTTGCATATTACTCTTTTATTAGGTAGGATATTTTCTTACTTGATAATGAAGAAAGTATGTTGATTTTAATAGAACCCTTCTCAATGTTTGTAATAATGGGAGTTGGATTTCAGATTATTAAATTGTGAAATTATTGTTCAAAATGTTAGGCATTTAACCATTCTGTAGTTGTCTATTAGTTACTGGTTAGTATACCTTAAGAACCTATGTGTTAATGACCCACACCTACTAGAAAAGGACACTTTAAATCAATAAACACCATTGTCAATAGGAGCAAAGATAATTAAAATATTACAATAGTAAGTTCAGATCATTAATAGTTTTTCTACATACCAACACATCCCAAATATTTGGACTTACCTCTTTCGATTACAAAGGCAGCCAATGAATTGCTGCATTTCACATATTCTGAATGACTAGAAATTAGTTGATTAAATGTTTCTTTAACAATTTGAGAAATCTTTGCATACTGCATGTGTCTCCTTTCTAGAAAAACAAATCAAATGCAGTATGAACTTAAACAGCATTGTACTTTCTCCCAGGGATCTCTATTATCTTATTATAATCTCACAACTGAAGAAGTTAATAATTTATAGAGATATGTAAGAAAGTTTATGTCATGATTGTGGGTTCGATCCCTTGTCAGGGTGAGTGTGAAAAGCAACTGATAGATGTTTTATTCTCACATTGATGTTCTCTCTCCCTCTCACTCCCTTTCTCTCTCTCTTTCTAAAATAATCAATAAAAGTATGCCCTCAGATACGAATTAAAAAATATGTATACGTGTGTGCGTATACACACACACAAATACACACACACACACTGTATAGGCACACATAATAAAAGTGTGATGTCTGCATTCTCAGCTAATATTCTGCTAACTGGATACAACGTATTTCAATTAGGTCATTTACATGTTTTTGTTTATATTTTTAAAACTTGAATTTTTTGTTGTTAATATTGTTAATGCTCCCTTCTGGACAAAGACAGGTAAAGTCACATTATCAAAAAGAGTAAAAGAATAGCCAAAATCGGTTTGGCTCAGTCGATAGAGCATTGGTCAGCAGACTGAGGGGTCCTGGGGTTCAATTCCAGTCAGGGGCATGTGCATTGGAGACACATCCCCAGTGGGGGGAGTGCAGGAGGCAGCTGGTCGATGTTTCTCTCTCATTGATGTTTCTAGCTCTCTAACCCTCTCCCTTCCTCTCTGTAAAAAGATGAATAAAATATATTTTTTTAAATAGAGTAAAAGAATAGTCAGACAGTTAATTACAAAATAAAATTGGGGAGGGGAGGAGGAAGAATGAAATCCTGGCTAAGTTCTCTTAACTAATCACAGAGTATACCATGTGGAAAAGCAAATTATTACTATAATTGCATGCTAACATATATTTTACTCAAATTGGTCAAAATCTTCAATGTTTGGTGTGTAAATCTGGTTTTGTTCCTTATGTAGTAAAAAATATGAATGAGGAGGACTTGGCTCTGCTTACCACCAAGAGATACAAGAGAAGCAGTATTCAATTTAGAGATATTTTAAAACTTAACTATTTTTTTAAACTGAAACAGTAATACAAGAGATATACATTCAGAAGAGAGTGTAAGATTAGGAAACCCAGAAATGTGTTTGAGACTTCGCTAATGAGTATTTGATGGTCTAGAATTGGCAGAAGTATATAGATGTAATCATTCCTTCTCCAAATGCAACCACTATTACCAGGTTGTTATGAATATTCTGAAAAACATTCTGTAAGTATAAATCACCTTCAAAAATAAAACACTACTTTTTGTATTTTCTTGGTCTTGAACATCATTCAAGGGTATACAGCTGTGCTACACACCTCATTCTCTTATTAGTTCTGTAGAATGAATGTACTCTGCTATATTTAATCACATCCTAAACAGTTAACAATTATTTTGTGATATTATAAAAAATAGAAAAATACACTGCAATTAGAACTGACAGACAAGAATTATGTTTGCCAAGAGCTGTTTTTCTACACATTAAAAAGTTTTATAAGATAAAAGAATATTTGTAAGTTAGCAATATCAGATACACCTTTTGATCTTACTCAGTGTTACAGGAACTATGAATATCTATAATAATAAAATTGTAATATGCTAATTAGACCGGACAGCCAAATGACCTTCCAGACATCTTTCTGTACGTTCTTTTGGACGTCCTTTGGATAACCTTCCAAACAAAGTGGGGGCTGCGAGGACCAAGCCCCTTCACGAATTATGTTGTTAACATAATCAGATCTTAGTAAATGTGTGTCTTACAATGCTCCTTATTCCCTCTAAATGTGTGCTTGGCTACTGAGGGAATAAAATGTTCTCACAAATTACTGGAAATAAAGGGTGACATAAAATGATACATGATGCGAATTAAAACATCTCTTTGATTCTAAGTTGTTAATTTCAATTAATCTCTATTATGTGAGTAAACTGAACCTGTCTTCAGAGCCAAAATATCACTGTTTTTTATGAAGATATGGTACAGTTAGAAATATGGCCAAGTAAACAGGCTATGAAATAGTGATAACCTCTATAACTGGCCCAGCAGGAGCTGTTCAGATTTTTGTAAGTGAAAATATTTTTTTTCAAAAGTGGTAACATCCTATCCTGTATTTAAACATACACTTGAAGGATGGTGTTTGTTCTCCCTTTTCTGACACCAACTGG